AATCTTAAATTTGAACTTTCTTTTGGATTAATTGAATAACCAACTCTTTTTAGCTGAGTGAAGTATTAGATAAAGCCAAGTTGAAGGCAATCTTGTCCTCTAATAATTGTTAAATAGCCCCAGTATCTATCAATCTTTTAAAACCCTTTTTCCTTCAATTATTAATTTAAGATTAGGTCTCTTGTTACTGATAAGACCTAATACACATCAGAGGAACCAAAGCCGTTTTGTTTTCTATCACACTCAACAATTTTGGCCTGGCCCATAAGCTGTTTTCAATTTCTTTTGAGTCTGAGGTTGACACCTCCCTAAGGAACAAGCAAGGCAATAAACAAATTCTAGAAAACACCCTTTTTGAGGCTGGTAAGGACAAAAGGAATGTCTGAAATCCAAGCTTCTGTTTCACCCACTCTGTATATAGCCTTAATTTAAATGTAAATGTTTTAAATCTTGGCCTATGTCTTGAGGCCTGGCCCAAGGATTATCCTTCTTGTACCAAGGACAAGTTTTAGTCAAGTAACCTTGGCCTCAGGATTATCTTTTTTGCACCAAGGACAAGTTTGTCAGGTAACCTTGGTCACCTGACTGTTGCTCAAGCCTCTATTTTTGGGACAGTCACTTTAAAAACTATCTAAATTTTCACATTTAAAACACCCCCCATCTCTATGGCTCTGTGTAAACTATGGCCAGACCCTGATTGTATGAGGGTGCAATTTCATCCCAAAGACGAATGTATCTGTGTAAGTCTGTCTTTGCTTGTATGGTCTGAGAGCTGTGTAGGCAGTTTAACCTGATTAACATCACACTGACCTTGTCTTACAAGCATGTTAAGATCCCAGTCTGCATGCTTGCCTGAGTATTATTCATCATGGCACTATGATTTTTACTAGTACCACTCCAATCTGAGCTCCAAATCAAGTAATTTCCTGACAAAATAGCCAACTCTGCTCTATCCTCTTTTCAACCATAAACATGGATGAGTCAAAGAATTCCAAACTCACAATTGGACTGCCAACTGTAGCCAATGGAATACTGGCAGTTTAACTAAATTTTTAAATTTCTTTTGTAACATTAGAGTATAACCATTAATTTTGAGAAGCAAAACCAAAAGCAAAAGCAATGTAAACAATCTATTTCTTCTAAAATCAACACCAAGTAGATTACCTTTATGTTACAAAGTTTTGTTGTCAATTCTTACATATGAGTGCATGAAGCAGCTTTTACTATCTCATTGAAGAGATACTGTTTTCTGGTTTCTGAATGACTATAACACTGAGTTAGTTTTACGCCACTTTTCGTTACCAAAGTTGTAAATTTCTAATCACATCTAATAATTTAAGCCAATAGTCTATAACCAAGACATGTAGAACATTTTTATACTTTTAAAACCAATTAGAAACAACAATGAAGTGGCCATGCATCTTATATACTTAGACCAAACAAAATTTCTTGTCTTTTTTTGCTGTAATTTCAAGAGAAAAGCACCTTGTCACAGAGATTTTTCTAGGACAAAATAACTCTTAGCTTCCTTATAAAACCCAAAATGCTGCTGATCTCTTTTAAAAGCAGCTTATGCCAACTTCAATTCCTGAAAAGGCTTTTTTAGCTCAGCTCAACTCTTAGCTACAGGTGTAGGGTAGCTGATCAGTCTCTGCTGTGTAAATTAAGACTGTCTTTGAAACAAAGTTAAACTAGCCCAAAGGTTGGATCAAGCAGTTTCAACGATCCTCTCTTTTGAACATGTAACAAACACAGAACACTAGACAACGAAACAAAAAGCAAACACAAACACGTGGACATTGGCGCGCCAAGGACATACAACAAAGAAGGACATCTAAGAGCCACAGAGAATTTCAGGACGTCTCCTGAATTCTCTGTTTATAGATGAACTCTGAAATAGCCTTTTTATTCTTTTTGCTGACACAGCTCAGAGAGAGGACACCTGTATTTTTAAAACCCTTTCTCTCTCTCTCATATTCAAGATGTAACTTTTCATCTCGTTCATTGGAGATGTAGCAGGCAGCTATTGTAACACCTCAGTACCCTGCTTTCTAGTTTTCCAATTCCTTTTAACCCTGCTCTTTCCACTTGAAGCAGCTTTTAGGCTGTGGGCAATGTCTGTTTAGAATTCTCCTGACCTATGTTTTGTTGTCACCTCCTAGGCAAAATCGGCACTGGGTCAATACCTCATTCACCTAGACTGTATCCCCCGAAACACTCTTCTTGCAAACACAGCCTCCGAATAACCATCACTAGCGCCAGCACTCGATCTCGCGGCGGTGGCCGTTCATCTGGCTGGCATCTTTCCTCTTCATCTATCTCTTCATCTGAGTCCTCTGAGGAAGCTATCCCCTCCGACTCAGAGCTATCAAGCCGTAAAAACCCCGGCTCCTTTACCAGATAAAGAGGTTTCTTTTCTAGGGCTTTTTCGCCTTTTCTACTTTTCTCACCCAGGGCGTCCTTTCCCTGACCTTTCACCCCCTCAGATCGAGGGCCCTTGGGGGAGCCTAATTTCTTCGACATGTCTTTTTTTCCTTTTTCTTTCTGAGTTTCTAAGCGCTTCCTTTCCTCTGTTTCTGACATGTTGGCCTGTAATCCGTCTAGCACTGCCCAGCCCGCCGCTACTGTTGAGCGGCTTTTCTCATCCTGCAAAACTAGAAGGAAGAGTACCAGCACTGCCTGGGGAGGGAGACGAAATAATTCAAGTCCAAACATGTCTCTCAGAGATTTACCCTGTCCTACGGTTCTGGATCTGCTCCACGCGTGGAGGGTCTTCTCGAACAGCGCCGGCGATGGTGAATTCTCCCGGGTTTCGGCACCAACTGTGAAGCGCGCCCACCTCGCCAGCAAGGAAGACACACGGACACACATCAGGATCCTTCCGTAGGAACACGTTTATTCCCAAAAACAAAATGGTAGAAGACGCCAGGGCTGGGAAAAGCACTGCTTATATACCCTTAGAGCGGTGTATTCACCTCTGATTGGCTGCTTACTCGTTGCGCGCCAAAACGCCGTGGGATGGGCTTTAACTTTGGCGGGCTTTTACCATGGCACATGCGCAATTTACTTGTTTACTAGGAAGAATCCCGGTCGCCATCGCCATCTTGCAATGGCAGATTCTGCCAGCGCAAACGCGGCTCCCTACAGAGCTTCCTGTCTCTCTGAGTTCCCTGTAACTGGACATCGCATGGTTCAGTCACTCAGCATGTGACCACCACACTGGCTTCTCACAGTGTTCCACCATCCATGCTGTGGCCTGAGTCTGTTCTTCATTCCTCTCTGTGACCAACAGCACTCCAGTTCACAAGCACAGTATATTTTACGTGTTGAGAAGTTGATAGATATTTGGCTATTCCAGTTTTTGGTTATTTCTGAGTAGCTGTGAGCAGTGTACATACATTTCATGTCAATACATCTTCATTTCTCTTGGGTGTGTGCTTAGAAGTAGATTTATGAGGTCATGTGGCACCTTGTAACCACTGAACAACAGCTGGAATGTTTCCTACAAGCAGTGTATAAGGCTTCCAGTTTCTCTGCATCTTCACCAACACTTTAAATTACCTACCTCTAAAGGTGTTTGTTTTGTTTGAGGGTAGGCTGTGCACCACTATGTAGCCCAGGGTAGCTCAGATACTCAATCTTCCTGCCTCACCTTCCCTAGTGCTGGGAATACATGTATTACCACCCTGCCCAGTTGATATAAGAAAGCTGAGACGTCCTTCGCCCACTGTCACTTCTCTCTATGACTTGAGTTACACAGTTGCTCTCATCAGGAGTTTGGATGAGTTTCTTTTTTCCTCCTCTGACTTCCAAAAACGCCTGAATTCTACTTTTTACCCCCTCATATTATAAAAATAACACAATATTCAGATAACTGAGAAGTAGCGTTTGGCTCGGGGATCTCCATGGCTGAGTGGGTAAGGCATTTGCCACACAAACAAGAATCTCAGTTTGGATCCCAGAAGCCATGTAAAGCACAGTGTGCTGGCACACATCTGTAATGGAGAGGCTAAGAGGTGAAGACAGGAAAGTCCCAGAAGCTCACAGGCCCGGCTAACCTGGCAGTACCAGAGCAAGCTAGCTTCAGGCAAGGACACTGGACCCCATGCTCTGTAGACACACACATCATAACATGAGCGCCCACCGAGGACTCTCACAGAGGACATTTAAAGGAAACAGCAGTGAGAGACCCCTGCCCTGCCCACCCTGTCCCAGCTCCCAGAGGCGGCCTGGCCTCACACCTTCACCATCCTTGTGCCATAGTCTCATGACATGCCAGGGAGGGCCCCGAGCCTCTCCGTTCTCACTGCGCACCAGTTTCCGTTATTGTTTCGTTGTGATGTCCTGAGACAAGGCCTCACTCTGCAACGGGGCTGGCCTGAAGCTTGCCATCCTGTTCCAGCCTTGTGAGTGTTATGCTCCCCAGCCTGCACCATCGTTCATGCGCAGAGACGCTGGGGGCTGGTCCTGCTGTCAGTGCCCTCGGCCTGGTGTTCCTGTGCTCAGTGGCTTTAGAGAGACAGTGGTTCGCCTTGCAGGACTTTAGTTTGATGCACAAGCTGTCTACATGTATTTATCTTATGAACAGCAGGATGGCGAAGTGCTGTATTTTGAGTGACCTTTCTGCCTGTGTGAAAGTTCTCCTGCAGGAAGCTCTCTCACACACTAGCCTGGGATGCCTGTCTGCACTGACTGTGACTCAAATCTGTGTTCAAAGGGTCAGATTTGTGGCAACTGATGTGTATGTGCTTGTGTGTGTGTGTGCTTGCGCTTATGTGATGCTTGCATGTGAGACAGAGGCACAGAAAGAGACATAGAGCATTTCGAACCCAGGGCCTCACGGATGCTAGGGCAGTGCCACACCTCTCAGCTGTGTATACTGCCTGGTGGGTCAGATTTGATGCAGGGATCCTCTGAGTGGTGGGTCTGCACTCTTGGGTCAGGGATGGTGCTCACAGGTGTCACAGTCTGTTTGCTAATTCTCTGCTTTTCTGCCCCAGCACCTGTTCCTGGCTTTTCCAAGGATCGTCTTCCTGCTGGGCTTTGTCATCGTTCTGAGCTTGCTCCTGGCTGGCTACCTGTGCTTTGCTCTGTACCTGGCTGCCACCAACCAGACCACAAATGAATGGTATAGAGGTGACTGGGCCTGGTACCAGCACTGGCCTCTGGTGGCCTGGTCCCCATCAGCCGAGCCCCAGATCCACCAGAATATTCACTCCCGTGGGTTTTGGAGCAACCTTCGAGAGATCTTTCTTCCTGCTACCCCCAGTTACAAGAGAAAGAAGACATAGCACGGGACGCGTCCTGCCTGTTGAATACAGTGCACATCTGTTTGTACACGTGGATATCTATTCTCTCAGTGTCATTCGTGCTGGTTTCTGCTGTGCGGGTGTGAGTGGACTTTAATCGGGAAGCAGGCTGGCTGAGTTCTGGGATGTCCCAGGGCATATTTCCCTCCTGCTCATTTCCTGCTAGAACCAGTAACTTCTCAGGTCCTAGTGGGCAAAGGGTCAAGAGATGTGTAAGGCTCTGGGTGACAAGGAGGCCTTTGCTTCTTTCAGTGCGCCCTCGGGTGCTTGAGCTAGGCTTGTAAAGCCTGCTCCCTGGTGTACAAGAGTCTCGGGAGCGGAGTGTCTCAGGGTTGTGCCAGCCGTACTCTTGCCCTGGTTTGTTCTTTACCAGGCAGGGGCTCTTTATCAACTAAATCCTCTCAGCCATAGGCCTCCTAGTCATTGTACTTGCGAGCCACACGCAAGACTTTTCCATTCTGTTTTAAAATCTCCAATCTTCGCTGGGCAGAGGTGGTGTACACCTTTGATTCCAGGACTCAGGAGGCAGAAGAACGTGGATCTCTGAGTTTGAGGCCAGCCTGGTCTACACAGCGAGTTGCAGGACAGCCAGTGCTACACTAAGAAACCCTGTCTCGAAAAACCAAAAAGGAAAAAAAAAAATCTTCACTGACAGTTCAGTGTAATGTGTAAATGATTTGCCCATAGATTGTATTCAAATTCTTGGGTCAGGGGTTAGGGTGTTGTAGGATGGGAGGGTTTTCAGGAACAGGAGCATGTAGGTTGAACCATGTTCTCCTGGGCTTGGCTAGGGCATAGCAGTTAAGAGGGGCCAGGAGTCAGGAGAGAATTTGGAAACAGAGACCCTGAGACAGAAGGATCAGGGGAAACAGATTGTGACCAGCATCTTTTTTCCTAGTAGTCGCCCCCCGGGGGCGATCTGGTTGGTGGGGAGCACGAGAAGGCTTGCATACGTGGTGCTGGCTCAGAACACCTCTGACTGTCTGATACTCAAACAGGCGGCGAGAACACCTCTGAAGTTCCGACAAACACTTGGTAAGACGCCGGGGCGGGGCCTCGTGCTTGCCCGTGTGGGCCTCACCGCCAGGGGGCGCCCACGAGAGCGCGCAGCCGCGGCCCGAGCTTGGCCCCTGCGGGCCGCCGTCGCCACCCCGGCATTCCGCCGCCGGTTCGGCCGAGCGGCGTCGGCTCCCGCGGCTCTGGGCGGCGCCGCAGTCAGACCCCAGGACACCCGCTGGCCTGTGGCGGCGGCGGCGACGATGGTCCCCTGAGCGGGTCGGCGCCTGTTAGCGGCGGGCGGGCGGGCGCCGCGACCCTGCCCGCGTCGGGGCCCAGGCCAGTCGCGCCTCTTTGTCTCCGGGCGGAAGTAGGACTCGCGGCGGGGACAGGGCGGCCGCACCATGAGCGACATCCGCCACTCGCTGCTGCGGCGCGACGCGCTGAGCGCCGCCAAGGAGGTGCTGTACCACCTGGACATCTACTTCAGCAGCCAGCTGCAGAGCGCGCCGCTGCCCATCGTGGACAAGGGCTCCGTGGAGCTGCTGGAGGAGTTCGTGTTCCAGGTGCCCAAGGAGCGCGGCGCGCAGCCCAAGGTGCTCGCCCCGGCCGTGCCCTCGCTCGGTGACAGGCGCTCGCTCGCCCCGAGGTCTCGCTCCTCTTTCAGCCCCCTGCCCTGCAGTCCAGCGGCGTTGCTCAGCCGCGTGCCCGTCTCGCAAGCGTGTGACATTCGCCCACCAATGAGCCTGGTGGTGGCTTGGGAACTGGCTACTTAACATTCCTCTGGGATGTTGCTTAGCTAGATGCAGGGCTTTTTCCTTTGCTTATTCGTAGGGTTAAGCCCCCGGGCTTAGGCTTCACAAAGGTAAAAAAGTACGCCCTGGGGAAAAAAAAAACATTTTATTTTCTTTTTTGAGACACTGTCTTACTGTGTACCATGTATCTCGGGCCAACCTGGATCCTCTAGACTTAGCCTCGTGTGTGCTGGGATTCCAAGCATCCGCTTCTCTAATCCTTTACTCTAAGGGGCAGGTGTAGGCCCTCTTTCACAGCTTCTCTTCCGGGTTTGTTTTCACAGAGACTGAACTCGCTCCAGGAGCTCCAGCTTCTTGAAATCATGTGCAGTTATTTCCAGGAGCAGAGCAAGGACTCTGTGCGGCAGATCATTTTCTCCTCCCTTTTCAGCCCCCAAGGAAACAAAGCCGACGACAGCCGAATGAGCTTGTTGGGAAAGCTCGTCTCCATGGCCGTGGCTGTGTGTCGGATCCCCGTGTTGGAATGTGCGGCCTCCTGGCTCCAGGTACTGCTCTCGAAAGCATTACTTCCCACGGTCTCCATAGACAGGATAACAAGAGTTTGGATGTAACTGGATGTCTGTCATTGATCATTGCTGCCCGAGTGCTACACCCAGTTCCATTTTTATGGCGCAAACAATTTTTTGTTTGTTTTGTTTGTTTGATCTTTTTGAAACAAGGATTTGGTATGTAGCCCATGCTTGCTTCAAACCTCATGACCCTTCTACCTGAGCCTCTTGAGGATTATAGGAGACACTGCCTGGCTCTGGAACTGTAGTCTTCTTATGCACACGGTAGTAAATGGTTAGGGTTTGTTTTATTTTGAAACAGGTTCTGATTATGTAGCCCAGGCTGTCCTGGATCTCAAAATGTAGACTAGGCTGGCCTTGAACTCAACCAAGACCCACCTGTCTCTGCTTCTTGAGTGTTGGGAATTAAAGGTATGTGCCATCACAGCCATCTTATTTAAAACGTTCACTGATTATTAGTGTGCACGTATGATGTGTGTGGTTGCCTGTGCCATGGCACACCTGTAGAGGTCTGAGGACAACTTTGTGAAGTCAGTTCACTACTTTCACCTTTTTTTATTTTCCATTGTTTAAGACAGGGTTTCTCTGTGTAGCCCTGGCTGTCCTGGAACTCGCTCTGTAGACTAGGCTGGCCTTGAACTCAGAAATCCGCCTGCCTCTGCCTCCCAAGTGCTGGGATTAAAGGCGTGCGCCACCACTGCCCGGCTTCCTTGGCTCCTTTTCATCTTAAATTTTTGAAGTTATTTATTAACTTTTAATTGTTTTGTGTGGGGATGTTTGGCCTGTGTGTGTGTGTCTGTGTACCACCTGTGTGCTTGGTACTCACATCGTGGAGGCTGCTGGAAGCGGGCTTCCAATCCCTGGAACCAGAGTTTCAGATGGTTGTGAGTCACCATGTGGGTACTGGGAATCGAACCTGTGTCGTCTGGAAGAGCAGCCAGTGCCCCTAACCACTGAGCCTTCTCTCTAGCCCCCACTTCTTTTGCCTTTATGTAGTTACAGAGTTTTCTCTCAGGTTGTCAGGCTTGTGGGGCAAGAGCTGTACTGGCCAAACCATCTGCCATCCCCCTATCTTTTTTTTAAAAAAGAGTCGTACTGTGTACCCTTGATTGCCATGGAATTTATTATGTGGATCAGGCCACTCTATAACTCACAAAAATCTGCCTACCTCTGCCTCCCCAGATTAAAGGTTTGTGACACTACACCTGGCCTTAAATTAATTTCTTTTTTTTTTTAGATTTATTTATTTATTATATATGAATACACTGTAGCTGTCTTCAGACACACCAGAAGAGGGCATCAGATCTCATTACAGATGGTTGTGAGCCACCATGTGGTTGCTGGGATTTGAACTCAGGACCTCTGAAAGCGCAGTCAGTGCTCTTAACCACTGAGCCATCTCTCCAGCCCTTAAATTAATTTTTTGATAAAGAAAAAAAAAAGGCGTCATCTTCAGAATAAATGGAAAATCTATTTCTTAGGCAAAATGATTGGATTATAAAAACAGTATGCAGAGGAAAGGAGAGATGTCTTAGTGGTTAAGAGACATACTGTTCATACAAAAGACCCAAATTCAGTTCTTAGCACCCAAGTGCCTATAACTCCAGCTCCCGGGGATCCATCACCCCTCTGTCCTCCTTGAATGCCTGTACTCATATGAACACACTCACAGATACACAGGTCCACATGCTGTGAAAAATAAAACCTTAAGAAAAACAAGTTTAGCTCTATAGCTTAGGCCAGCCTAAACTCATGGTCCTTTCGCCTCGGGCTTCCTGGTGCTGAGATGAGGCTTGGACCACCACGCCCGGCTGTCGCAAACATTTTACCATGTGGTAATTGACAAACTCTTCCAACCTCACAGTGGTGGTAATGGTTAGTTTTGATCTATGGTGTCTTACAGAAATTGTCATTTCCTCAGCAGTGAGCTTACCAAAGTCACCTCTCCTCCAAGACAGGCAGGTTTATGTAAATATCCCACCTTTGCAGGCTGCATGGTCCCGATTGCAAGAACTCACCTCTGCCCTCTAGTGCAGGAGTGTAGGATAGCAGGCTTAGTAAGCCTGCTGGTCTGGTGGAGCTGTGCTCCCCTTTGGCTGGGAGGTGGCTGTGGACTGGCTCTATTGGGCCTTAGACAATGAGACCCTGCTCCAAGGGGCTTTGTTAGCAGGTCTCCCGAGCCTTGAAGTGTCCGTCCACTTGGGTGGTCTTCACTGTTGATATGCAGCTGCTACCCGATAGCTCAGGGTTTCTCAGTGACTCGGACTGTGGCTTCTTCCCAGCGGACGCCTGTGGTGTACTGCGTGAGGCTTGCCAGGGCCCTTGTGGACGACTACTGCTGTTTGGTGCCAGGCTCTGTTCAGACACTGAAACAGATCTTTAGTGCCAGTCCTCGTTTCTGCTGCCAGTTCATAACGTCTGTGACCGCGCTCTACGACCTGTCATCAGGTAAGTGTCCAGCAGATGTTTCTGTCGAAGCAGCTTCTGGTGAACGCCAGCTTCCTGTACTTTATCTTTTTTGTGGTTCTGGGGGTAGAACCCAGAGCTGCGAGCATGCTGGGTGAGCATTCTACCCTGGAACTACACCCATGTACCAGTGAGTACATTGGTTTCTGTTTTATTTTGTTGTTTGTGTGTGCGTGCGTGTGTGTGTGTGTGTGTGTGTGTCACATGTGTGCAGTGCCCACAGAAGCCTTTGGAGCTGGAGTTACAGATT